CTCTGTGGGTCCACCATCCAAAATCACGTCATATCGGCAGCAAATCTGTATCCGCTCGTTGTACCCCCGTTTTTAAAAGATTTGGGTACGGAGGAAAAGAGAAAGGCTTTTATTTTCTGACGCCGCGTGAGTTCCCCGACAAACCGGGGACACATATTTATGTATAAAAGACATAAAAAAGTGCATTTTGCACGATAGGTCCCCTTTAAATATTAGCTTGTGCTATTAATGCATGTATGAGCCTTTGTCAGCTCTAATTGGTTTCTGAGGAAAAGCAGCAGCTGCACATCAAACCTTCCAGCTATCTATTGGCCACCAGTGGGTCATTTTAAGTGCCACTAATTCACTGGCCATTGACACATCAGACTATTTATTAAAGTACACTAACTTAATGAATGGCTCATAGAATGGAGAGTTAAAACATTTACTGTCCTAAGAGAGAGATCGAGAGCAATAGACACAGAAAGAAGATGTGAAGGAGGAAGGAAAGAGAAAGGAGAGAGTGAGAATGAATGGCCCATCGTATAGAGTTAAGACGTTAAAAGTGCAAATAGACAGCTGACCCTCTTAAAGCTTGCGTACGCAGCTCAGACATGCGCAGCCCCCTAAAGCACTTTACACCCCTCGAGATAGAGGGATGGGGACAGAATATGGAAAGAGAGCCGAAAGGACGGACAATTGGATGACACAGGAGGATGAGATGTTGAAGAAATGGAAAGAGGCGAGAGATACTGTAGATGTAAGGAAAGCAAACACAGGGTAATGGTTGTAGTGAATACCATTTTGTTTAAAAAAACAGGCTTGGGGTCTAACAGGTTAATAGAGAGAAAAACTAAGGACAGAAATCTATGGAAAGAAGAAAAAGGACAAGAGGAATGAATATAAAAATCATTGAGGCATTTGGACACAAAGCAATTATGTTTTATCTAGAAATAGTTTTCTGTTCGTTACGTAGAAACAAATGTACGTCATATTTTTCACTCTAATATATTATATATTTCTTGTTTTTTCTCCTTGTGCCCATATGGTGCATTGGTTTATTTGTCACTGTGCACTTCATTGCTTATCAGTGTGTGTGTGTGTGTGTGTGTGTGTGTGTGTGTGTGTGTGCGTGTGTCTGTGTGTGTGTGTGTGTGTGTGTGTGTGTGTGTGTGTGTGTGTGTGTGACTGTTTGTGTGTTATTGTGTGTCAGGGGAGCTAGATGCTGCGAAAGGCCATTACCACCGTGAGTCCATGTCGCTAGGCTTGTGAAACTCAAGGGAACCCTCCCACTGATACAAGGGGATCCGGGGTAAACACACACACACACACACACACACACACACACACACACACACACACACACACGCACAAACACACACACACACAAGCGTATATAATTTTAGACACATACAAATTGTGCTTACATATGGCCAAATGTGGACCCCACAAGATTGTAAAATTATAAATTGCACATGCCAAAATGAACACACAACTTTGCACAGAGGAAAAAACATAGATCATAAATATACAGTACTTTTATACACACACGAGGGGGGTTAAATAGCCCCAAAACAGGTCTTTGAAACACCATCAGTGTGAAACTGCCAACCATTAGCACTTTACAGGTCACAGCGCCCAAAACAGATATGGTCACCCTTAGAGACTGACCCTGTTTGCACCGTATTAGGAGGAGAGAATCACATCCAGACTTTCTCCCAAACCAAATAAGAACTGCTCTGAAATGAGATCAGACCCCATATGGGATCTGAATGAAGATGCCCGTTACTGTAACTCTGTTACTTCCGTATGGTTCACATCTAAAATAAAAAATGACACTTTTCTGATGTTCCCCCATGACTACAAAGGAGCTGCATTGCTCTTTGTTGGAAAAAACATCTTGTTAAATACCCTGCTCCCAACAGGCCATACTCATTGCTGTATAGTCTTTTGTGATAGCTCAGATGGACAAAGGCTTGTCTTTGTCAGTTGTGACAAACCAGAAGTAACCAAAGACAGGTGCACCTTTGACGCCAAGGGCTTGTATTTTTGTAATTTGAGCTTTTCTCTGCGTCTTAAATTCATTGCTCTTTAAATGATGTCGATATATGTGTTGTACCTCTACTCTCTTACTTACTGCAATAACTATTGGTCTACAGAGCAGTTCAACCTGTCACAATGAATAATCAATGACAAATTAAGAAATGTAAAATCATACACAGCAAAATATTAACATTGTAGTCATGAATAGAAACAACATTATACTTGCAACTGCATACAAGTGAGAATGTAAATACAAGTTATTACATATTTCTCCTTAACAGGTATAGTACTTTTTCAGAGAAAAGTCTAATACATTTGGCATAATTTCTAGATTTGTCTCCTGCCTTTACAACAAATCTAAATAGACTTAAGTTTATGTCCATATCTCTCCCTTAAAACAAGTGTGTTGCTTGATGCATCATTTGCATATTAATTGGTCTTTGAACATGACACCTTTATGCATGAGAAAATATCCAGACTTCATGAGAAGAACCGGTTGAGGTCGAATGAACCAAGCAACTCGTTTCATGTCCACAACCCAGTATAATTTTCAGCACTGATATAGAGGCCTGCATCTTTGTACCTATACCAACCACATTATTAATAATAAACACAAACAGAATATCATTGTCATGTGAAGAGACCTCAATCTCACCACAATCTATTTGCTCAACAAAACGTACATATCCGTCAAATCGTATACCTCCCTTATTAATGAATTGTCTTTGAAGGTGTACCATATTTATGGTAATGAATGTAATGGAGTAATTTAAATAGAAAATGATTTAATGCCCTGCATTTGGATTCATTAAGCAGTGGAAATATTGGTAACGTTCAACACTTCATTTCTGCGAAGCAGCCTCTACGACTGTCCAGACTAATGGTGCCATTAGGTGTTATGGGAAGCCATAACTGTGTGTCATTGGCATAACAGTGAAACTTTATGCATGTAAATGGCAAATGAAATGGGGCCGAAAAATTAACCCTGTGGGACCCCCAAATAATGTATGTTATGGATGAATTGTCTAGGTGAATAAATATGGCTTTCTAGACGGCCTAGTTTTAAACCACTCAGCTTATCACAACTATCAACAGTGAAGGATTGGGGTTACATATAGTTTTTAGTGCAAAAAGCCGTGCCATTCATTGGTCAGTCTCATTATGCTGAGTAAATTATAAGACCCTTGCTGGGTTTTATTTTCTTGTATGCAAAATAAAAAATGAAAAAAATGAGTAAAAAGATAAATATGGTAGGAGGGGATAATAGAAAAATGGAGAAGAGCAAGATAAAGGGAAGATGCTCAAAGGGAGACAGAGATAGAAAGAGAGATGTAGATGAAGCCAGAAGGTGGAGGAGGAGAAGAGAGGAGTTAAGTTGGCCATTAGCGATGCGGCGTGTGGAGCCCACTCTTACATGCGTTCCACAAGGTTAACGATAAGAGCCCCTCAGCAGCTGAAATGCTCAAGTAGCTTTTATCGTATCATAATAATGAATCAAAGATAAAATAAAATAAATGAACTCCAAAAGGAGAGCAAGTAAAATAAAACGTATGTGCAGAGCCGGGTGACCAGGCACATCCCAAATAGAAAAGAGAGAGAGACATTGTAGAAGTGGAAAAAAGGAATAACAAATCTTGCTCTCTGCTAATATCTTCTTATGTCATCTGGTTGAAAAAGATTTGCCTGCGGGTCAGGGCTCCCTCTGTTAGAAAAAGGCTTCTTCACGGGTCTCTGCTACATTAAATATCTGGCCTCTGCATCCCATTTACTGCTGCTGGCCATTAGGGGAGTGTGAGAGAGAAATAGGTATATATTTGAGGTTGACAGAGCAAGAAACAATAAAGTAAAAAAACAAACAAATTGTGAAAGCCTCTGTTTTATGGTCATGTTTTTGTAAACCTTCTTCTTTTGTATGTTGTAGACAGTATGTCTTACTGTGTGTGTGTGTGTGTGTGTGTGTGTGTGTGTGTGTGTGTGTGTGTGTGTGTGTGTGTGTGTGTGTCTGTTTAGTGCCCTTGGCAAGAGCAGGAGATCTGGCCATTCAGAATGGACAGTAGTTAGCCACCCACCGGAGCAAGCTGTTACCATTTCCTTTTCCCCTCCTCCCATCCTCCCCTTCTCCCCTTCTCCCCCTTCCTCTTGCTCTTTCCATTTATTTGTCACTGTTCTCTTACATTTTACTAAACCACATACATTTAAAAGAACAAACATATTGTGATTCACTTTTACGTTTACATTTGAATGCTCGAGACTGATTGGCAAATTAGAATTTAGCAAATAAATAAAAAACATGCTCCCCTACCTTGACTACCGAGCACTAGTACACTTTAGCAAGTTGCTAACATTTCATACAAAGCTATTTCAATTTTTTTACAAAAGTGTCAAGTTGTGTATGGTTCATTTCCTGAACCAAACAAATGGAATTTAGTGGGTTTGCACCGTTTGCACACTATAAGGTGGAGCTTTATTCAAACAAAAACAAAGGGTGCCTTTATGTGGGTTGCTTCAGCTAACGATCCGTACAGTAAGCCCAGTTTGAAAAAATAGATCTATGACTTTGCAAGACTCCAATTACACTGGTGAGACAACACTTCATCGTGTCGTCATTGTGGCAATAATTGTATCTTTCTTATGTCAATCATCAGGTAATGAGTAGAAATATATCATAAGAGTTACAGAGTAATATATGCGTGCATGTATTTGATTGGCCAAGGCAAAACTTTGCTGGATGATGCAAAAGTAGAGCTTCACCTTTCTTGTGGTACAAACTGGATTCGCCTCTGCGTCATCCCCGACCTGGCAATATTAAAATAAATTAGGCGGTGTTTTTCAGGACCGTCTGGAGGCGGCGTAAACATAATCTTGCGAAGTAAAGCACTGAGAGAACATGCATGCTCTGTGAACTATCACCATAAATTAAATGCTCACTGGTACCACTGTAAGAGAAATGTGTGTATAAATCAAAGACAAAAGACAGGTGTCAAAACTGGAAGCCTGGTTTTAATTGATATTGCTCTACTGTAATAATCCTGAAAGGCATAGTCTGGAGTAACACATGTAATGTTTCAACCCATAGTAGTATAAGTTACAGAATCATAGGTCTCTCTTTTTGCATTGAACAATATATACAATGTGAAATAAATACATTTACACAAATGGACATTATTGTTGGAGCACACTTGTATGATACACGTCACAAAAATATACAGGTTATTGTTTCTTTTTTTTTTCTTCTTTTTTTCATTTACTGATGTGAAGCACATCTAAAATCTACAGACATTTTTTTTAATAACACTACAGGGTCGTCTCTCGTACACAACTCTTCTCCACAAAGCCGGTCTTTTTTAAATATCCTTTGAATCCAAATGTGTCATTGTTCTCTTTCCCTTTAATACTTTCTTCACATTTGCAAATTCAGACTGCAGGGGTATCTGCAGCACAAAGTGGCAGTTACATCTGGGGATTAAATACAACTAAATGACTAAACACTGTAGAGCTGTAGCTAGACACAGTTTGGCCTTAGCAGATTTCAGGGGCAGCCATGGTAGATGGACAATCCTGCTTTGTCCCTATGCCTAAAAAACTCCCTCTGTTCCAGTTAAACTATTGTTACATTGAGTATTTGCAGCTAATGGATCTAAGTTCCAGACGCGGGCGATAAGATGGCGCCCAAAGTGCAACCAGGTCAAACTCTTTCTATCGATGGCTCTGCAAAAACCCACACAGTCCTTCTTCCAACGCTCCTCATAGAAAACACCAGTTTGGTTTGTTGTCATTTATATGGTTTAAACTTTAACCGCTGAATCATTTAATAGCAAACAGCATTTAGATGTATAACACAAAACACAAAAAGTGCAATCATGTCTCGTCATTGCACAGTTATCAAAATATTGCTTTTAAACTAGAAAAAAAGTGTTGTATGAAAACACTTGCGTCTTGTATATCTAAACAATATATTGGCTATGAGCAGCAAGTTCTAGCAAACCCTTGGAAAGAATCACACAATCTCCCTCCTGATTTTAGCTGCTAGATTTATTCTTTTTTAACCAGCAAAACAAAGGAAGACCAATTCCTGTCAGGACCATCACTTTCAATGAATTACTTAATTGACAAGGATAATTAGATGTTTAAGTTAATTAAAAAGAACAAATATATACATATCCATATTTGCAGTTGATTCCTTTGAAAACATGGATTATAACCAATTCTAACTCAGCATAAATAAGGAGAGGTGTGTGACAGCTTTCATCGCATTAAATTGTTCAGAAGTACACAGGATAGGTTTGACAACTGACAAATAATTCAAAACAGTAACAGAGGAGAAACAATAGTAAGAAAAGAGCACCTTTCTTCCATAAGTTGTGTGTAGGTTAATGTACAGTGGATGATAATAAGAAACCCCATCTTTCTGACAATGACATGGTGTTTTAAGTTACAATGAAAACAGGAAAATATATTTAGATAACCTGTGAAATTATTTCAATGTATTTCTTCCCTAAAACCATTAATGTTCATGTTTAAGAATTTTGACGGGTCCTAGAGTTTTTGAATAAATGCCATTTGTAGCGCATCATTGATAAATGTGTATAAAGAGGTACAATGAGAATATCAACATGTTCATTAAAGGAGACTTGAGTTTAGATCTTGACTTTGTGAGTCCTGGGCTAAAGCAGAAATGCGTCCCAAAATGTAATGAGTGACTATTTCCCATCAACACACAAAGTAGTTCAAGTCTTATTGTTGACATGTCTGTTACTCTCTGTTGTCAAACAAGATGTTTTCCACTAAATGAGCGAAAACCGGACACAACAATGGGGGGGAAACGTTTTTCGTCTTCATATTATCTCTTTTTGACTGCTGAAACTGTAACGATGACGAGCTGTATGGAACGCAGTTATGTACAGCGAGTTTATAAAAAAAGAGTCACCTACAGATCTGAAATGACTCAAATGTCCTTTTCATTTCATCGTTATTTAAACCTAAGGATATACAGTATACTGTTTATTCTACAGGAAAGTTACACAAATGATCCCTCTTTAAATACTTGTATGGTGTTTCTTCATTTAGATACTAAATATTGAATTATGTATAGTTTGGTAAAGATGAATACTGTAATTAGATCTTGGTGGTCTAGTTAAATGAAGAAGAGCCTTATATCCGGTTCAATGAGAGAGAACCCAGTGTCCGACAGACAGACAGACAACATGGCCTCTGCTCTACCCCGTGTAGTCTGAAGAAGAAGAACACGGCACACGAACGGGAATCACCACAAGACAAAGTACACAGCAACGCCTTAGAGGACTCGTCAAAGGAGGAAAAGATCGAACAGAAAGACTTTCAAACTAAATAACGGATAGAACTAAAGAAACTGGTTTTTTTCTTGATAGAAAAAACAACCAACATGGAACTCACATCGAGGCTGAACTACATTTTTTTATTTTTTCTCGATTTTGTTTCCAATAAAATGTCTTATGTTAGAATTATAATCTGTATAATTTACAATATACAATGTTTAAGAAGGCTGAGAAAATACCCCTTACTAATAATACTGATGTTTGATACAGAGCGTGTGATGACTACACCTAAACTGCAGCACTCCTCAGCTGTGACAAGTCGCCATTTTATATTAGATTACACTGTCGTCTACATTACACATTTTGGCATTCTTATTCGGCTTTAAAAATGACATTTAAAAAAAATCCCTGGACTGTCTTCACCTGTTTAAGGTGTGATCAGTCAGCCATACAATCTTGCTTTAACGATGAAATCAATGATTCTTCACTTGACTGTAAAATGTCACACAGATTCCTGTAAGCTCAGCTTTCCATTTCTTGCCAATAAACCCTGCACTTAAATATAACCGGCCATTTTTGACTTGAAAAATGCCTGGAAAATCTCTTTAAAAAATGACAATTTAAAAAGTTCAATTATTGAATTGAATCAACTTCCCTAAAAATTATATTTGATGAGACTTGAAATACATATAGTGTTGTACATATTTAGTACATCACTAGTACAAGTAGACAAGCTTAAAATCAAATGTATGAGTATCAGTCATATTTTTGTAATTCCCTTGTATAATTTAATCTAAAGATTACCTATAATTAATTCCATCAATTTCTACTGTATTTGGTAGGATCATTGGTTTTAAGATGTTGTCATAGATGCTTATAAACAACAACAAGTGCAATAGCGATCTTTTGTTTGTAGCACTGTTTCCCTCAGCACAGATTCAGATTCAGGTTATTCTGAAGGTCCCCACACTCGGCCACGTGGCTAAATAAACATACGCATTGAGGACAAAAACTACATTTGACTGAACAGCTGATTTCAAATAAATAACTGTCTAGTTTAATTAGATTTAAAGTGACAGAGCATGGTCACAACAAAGGTGCAACTTGGGATCATGTTAGTCTTAGCTGCTTGTGTTAGTTCTTCAGCCAAACATGCGTTGTTCACATGGCTTTTCGGTGACGGCAGCGTTAGCATCTCATCCTCACATTTCTGGTCCATATTTATTCCTGTCTAGCTTCCTCTTACAAATAAAATATTGACTGTTATCTAATAGCGCATGGCAAGTGACACAGAGAGAATGAGAAACTCCCCTCTGACCCCCATCCTCTCTCTTTCCCGAGTTTAAGACTGGCACATTATGTTAATATTGCAGACTTAGTCCATATGCACAAAACCCTCCTTTAAAAACCACTATTGCTCAGAGTTTTCTAAGATAAACGCTGATTTGTTAATACATTATTACTTGTTATATTTATATATATATATATGATAATTGCTGAAAGTGGTCAAGCTGATAGAAAAAAGGAAAGACATATTGATTGATTCAGTTTTAAGAAGACAATATTAATAACAAAAACAAAGCCGTGTTATATGTCATATACAGGATGACAATTATTTACAACCCTAGTACTGGTTTCATCGCTAAGATTATTTTCAAGATAGAAATAAAGAAAATAAATAAGAGTTTGAAAGCAACAATAGTTGTTCTTCAGTAGTCAGTTTTGTCAGCACACCTTTCCTTCTGGTTTGTATTGTATCGAGTGACTGAAGCGCCCCTGCAATCTTCGAATGAATGACAGAAATATCTGCTGACGCAGGAGGAGAGCTGGAGGTTGTGAATGCAGCGGAGCGAGAGGGAAGTTCTGCAGTGACACTTTGAGGTTTTTGGAGTTTGGGTAATGAGCACGGACTGGACTAATCTTAATGGCACGATGACAGACTGAAATCTCTACTGACTTGTGTGGAGAGCTACAAACCGGAACCATTGAGCGCTGAAAGCTTTCACAAAGACATCAGAACACAAGAGGAGGGTCTGACCGAATAAATACAGAGAATGTAGACCGGGCCTACAACTACCAGTTGGACAAGCAGGAATCCGTTTTTGACAGTATAGATCAAGTCTTATTTTGGTAATATTTTTGAATTATAAACTCGAGTGGTTTCAATATTTGGAAACATTTTCAGCTTGTCAAGTGTGCAAACTGCAAACACTATTTCTATGGTTATATTGACAGGTTTTGGAGGCCGGGATCCTAATAAAAGTAAAGTTGAAGTTGGGGAGACCCGGGAAGCCAGGATCTGAATTTAGGGAGAACCAGAGAGTGTTGACAGCAGTGGTTTCTAATCCTGGCCCTGGCTCTGCTGGTTTTCATGACAACCAGAAACATTTGAATGGCGAAACTGAAAACCAGCAGCACCAGAAGCAACCGGTAGTTTAACCAGAAACAGTTTTGAGTTGTGACAAAGTTTGCTGGCATCCTCTGAATGGGTGAGCTCCATTCTTTGGCAGGGCAAATCTCCTCTTCTTTTCTTTCTGTCCATCTATCCACATTTCATTGTACAAGTACTTTTTACAACAAATGTCATTAATACTGCTTCAGTGTTCTTTTTTTCTCCTCTTGTTTTCTTCTTGAACACTTAAAAAAACTCTGTTGGGGGAAATAGGGAGGGAAAGGAGACACGAGTGCAGTCTTAGAGTCTCTCAGAACTGAAAGAGTTTTCAGTTTCTTTTTAAATGTCGTCTTTAATAACATCTTAATTGTTATTTAATGCATCAGAGTTTTGCTCTCTTCAATGTTCACTGTGTTAACTGTCGAGTGATTGATAAGAGTTTTAAAAGGAAATATCTTCTTTCCTTCGTCAAATGGGGGTCAAGTCAGTCCGTCAGCATCTTCCCCAAAACAAAAAGGTCAAGTGAGCGCCCTTCGTCAAAGACCGTGGAGGTTCAGGGGTTCAGGTGAGAGGTTTCGGGTTACTCGTTTCTTCATATGGGGACGTGTCAGCAGACATACTTAAGGGACATATTTTTGTGTCTGGGTGCGTGTGTGTTAGAGTGTGTGCGTGTTAAAGAGCAAGAGGTCATTCAGAGTGAGATTCAGACTGGCTGTCGTTCCATCCTCAGACCTTGGCTTCCAGCAGCTCCAGGAACAGTTTGTGCATTGGGACTTTGCCGTCCTGCTTGATGCTGTAGAAGTGTTGCACGGCCTTGGTGGAGGTCTGGCGGAGCAGGGGGAGGGTCATGAGCAGCTTGCCCGCCCGGCGGGGGTCCTCCTGGTGCTGGGCGGCCTCGTAGTCCTGCAGGGCCTCGTGGAGCACATCCTGGAGCTTCTGCACCGCGTCCACGTCTTCGATGTGCATGGAGTCTGGAGGGAAAGGAAGACGAATACGCCATTACACATTTAAAGTGGACACAAATATCTTTGATAAGGCATGTTTTATATCCCACAGATGTTTTGTTAAATCAAAAAAAGGGAAAAAGCAGGTTGTGGTTGGATGTGGTTGGACTTCGCCACCACCGCCCTGCTTATGCTTATGCTTTGAATGCTTATGTTTGCTTATGTTTTGAATTTTCCAGCAATAAATGCAGGCTTGTTTGCAGTGCAGAAAGCTCAGTGCTAGAAAGGGGGAGAGGGGCTAAAGATCCAATCCAATATCCAAACAGGCTCAATGCCACATGCTCATTGTTGGATATTGTTTAAGGCGTATTAAACTGTGACATATGTATGTATAAAAAAGTGCAAAACACTTCAATTGCAATCAAATATAGACCATCAGTATCTAGTTCTGCAGACACAATAAGTCTCTAAAAGTATAATGATGAATGTAGTACCTTAAACTAAACACTCTTTAGTTCAAAATGTCATTACACTTTACAGTTTATAGTAAAAACTAAAGCCAGAAACAGGGCTTTAAAATCAGTCGCTGCTTCTTTCTCTGTCTTTAAAGTGTGGATTTGTGGGTGTGATGAATGGACACACAACGAGACGAGTGGGCGGAGAAGAAAGAGATAGACTTGTGGAATGATGGAGAGACGCACTAACAGAGAGTCTGTGTGTGTGTGTGTGCGTGTGCATAAGTATTTGTCTGCACACATCTGTAATCTCTCTTTGAGCTGGCACGTAAGGTGCGTCTCAGCACATGTGGCAGTAAAGGCTGAGAATGTCCCTCAATAATAATGCTCCATATTGCCCCTTAGGGAGGCAAAGTCTTAATGTGAGTTGGCCTTTAGCTCCCAACCTCCGATCAATGTCTCCGATCAATGACTACATGCATGTTAAATAATAATCACAAGGAAACTATTGATAGGCCGCCACGCCCCAACACACACACTTCCACACACAAACCAGATCTGCAGAGAGGGTGAGACCGATGAGTGCATGAAGACACCGTAAAACAATGCTATGGTGCTTCTCACAGCGCACGCTATGCATGTGTGCTGGATTGACACACACCTACACGTTAAAAAAACCTAGGCAAAGAATCTATGAAAACATGCATAATATCAAACATAAACCTAAAAATGGTTTTGTTCAGATCAAATAAATTCAACATCAAATGTGTGAACACACACACAAAGAAATGCACACTCACACGTGCACAAACACAATCACATGTGTTGGATCTATAGAGCGTAATGCATGTATCAGTATGCAGGACCAGACCAGTCAGTGTGTTGGATTCTTTAGGGATCAATAGAAAACTCAGCTTCTATCTGTTCTCCGATGTTTTACTTTTTCCCCAGTTTAAATAGTGAGTGGTCCTTTTTTCATATAATAGAAAGCAATAGGGAAAATATATTTATTAAGGTTAATAAGGATGGTTGTTATTTCCGTTGATTAAACAAATATAATGGAAAAAGCACAGTTTTTAAGATCTCTTTTTTGTCCTTTTCACTTTGCGTTAATATATTTGTATGTGAACATCTGCAGGCTCTATATTTAGCCATTCCTTATACATTTGCTTTTATTAAAGAAATATTTATATACATATATTATATAAAAGTATATTATGCAAAGTGAAACAATCCATGATAAAGTGCCTAATGTACCAATTCAAAGTATTACTGTTCATCTCAATTAAAACAATCTCCTTTCTTATTAATCTGGATTTGAATAAGTGGTTACCTGAATTACAGCCTATAATAGCAGTAAGTTTAAATGAAGTTTAATGAGTTTCACATTGTTTTTGATTAATGCTGTGTGCTAAGTATTTAAGCTGGTAGACATGGCTGCTGCCTGTGCTCTGACCCGCAGTACACTCACAAGTAAAACAGCAGACGTTAATGAGCACGAGCACATAAGGCTGTTAAAACACACATGTTAACACAGAACCCACAATGCACACACACACACACACATGTAAATGAATGCACATACACACACAACACACACAGACACACACACACACGTGCCTCTTGTTTCCCATGGCTAGTTTAGCTGTCTTTACATGTGGGGCACGTTTGCTAACATTTCTTAAGGCTTGGCTTCATTAATGCAGACGATTAGCATCCTGTGAATTAATTAGTGTCAGTGCCCTTCAAAATGCTAATGCTAGCATTCTGTTGTCTTGAAGAGCAGTTAGAGAGTCTAGGCAATGAAGTTCTTATTTGGGCGTCAGCTGTTTCCATTGCCTTCAGTTAAAGGAACGACTAGTTCAAATGTGAGTTTTCTCCAAAGTGACTTCATTATTTTGATAGATAAATCCTCCCTGAAATGATCTGGATATTTTTTTAATTGCATGTTCCACAGGCAAAGGATTTGAGCTTTTAACAGCATGCAATGTTTCTGTCTACAGAATAGAAAATATATACTCTGTTTGATATTTACTCAATTAGTCTTCTATCTTTCAAGCTCTTCAACTGCCTTGAACTTGACAGCAGACCTGGATTCAAGAGCCTGCACCATCAGTTGATTTAGCGATTATTGTCTAAAATAAAATGCATTTGGTAATCATTTTAACAATTAACAAGAAAATATTCTCCGATTTCAGCTTGTGAAACATGATTTGGTGTTTTTATATCTTTGGAAAACTACATTTCCTCAGTTGTTGATGTCAATCAGACAAAATAAGCAATTCCTAAGTGCTGTTGGGAAATGTTACGGACCAGAATATTCATAACCATCATAACCATCACCATGACCATCAACACTGTGTCTAGCCGGCAGAACCAGCCAGAATTCTCACATTTCATAGACCGATACACACACAAACACACATGCTCACACACACACAAATAGGCAGAGCCAAGAGATTGATTGTCACATAGCCCACAGGAAAACAACATGTCAATATCTTCTGCATGTGCATGACAGTATGTGCTCTGTGCGTGTGGGAAATCATTTTTCAGTGGCTCACATTTAAGTACGCACTAATGTTTTATGTTTGAATATGTGTTTATGCATGAGTCAGAGAGACAAAATTGGCATATTTGAGAAAAAGATCTGAATGTGTTTGTCTGCTGCGTGTGTCTGTGTTGATGTTGGTGGCAGAATCAGAACAAAAGGCCCCTCCCGTCCTATTCAAAGCTCTCGCATTGCATTCTCCCATTTAAACACATTGTATTGACAGCTCCCCCCTTGTAATTAAAGAGTACTGAAGAGCTGGCCGGCTTCCAAGACAAAGTTCAAAAGACGGGTCATGGGAGGAAGAAGGCGTGTGTGTGTGAGAGTGTGTGTGTGTGCGCGTGTGTCAGTCAGCTGTCGATGCAGCTGGACACATCAGAGAGGGGGCTTTATCGACAGACTTTGGGTTCTAATGATTTTAGCTTATTTAACAGGCATCTGAAGAGACGACTATGCTAATTGTAAAAGGGATCGCCACTTTGTTTGGGGGTGGGAGGTGGGCTTCTGGTTGAAGACGTGTGTGTGTGTGTGTGTGTGTGTGTGTGTGTGTGTGTGTGTGTGTGTGTGTGTGTGTTTGTGTGTGTGTGTTTGTACCTTTGGGTACCTTTTTAAAATAAGAACGAGAGACTTTGAAGTGTATGAAGAGACTAATGTGTGTGGGTTTAACAGTTAAAGTTGGACATTTGAGAGCTGCAGGTGCAGTAAAAGACTAGAAGAAGAAGTGTCTAATGGTGATGTGTCGCAGTTGTGTGTTTGTGTGTGTGTGAGTGTGTGTGTTTGGATGCTGAGTATTGAAATCAGTTCTTTGATGGTTCAGTTTAAATGAGTCCCGAGGGACAGGAGATTCCAAGGATTAACTCTTCCTCCACCAGTCGCGTGCTTGCTGACTCAAACACACACACAGAAATAAAAGTGAATCATTTCTAACCTGAGTTAGCCAAAGCGATGGCCTTCAGAGCGACAAATTCCTCCTTCTCGAGCTTCATAGTCTTGTATTTCTTGACCAGCTGAAGGATGGCATTGTTCAGGTCCAGAAGTCCAGCTAGCTTCGACTGGTCCTCATCCATGATGTAGTCCTCAGCATACACCAACTAAAGAGAGGCAGAGAGGTTGTATTAAACATGTTTAAACATATTCATATACTTGTTTAGAGCTCGGAGCAAACTAAAGTCAAAGATGCTCACCTTGTCTTCAAAGGACAGTGAGCGGTACACAACACGAAGGATCAAGATCTCCATCCATGCACTCTGCAGTAGACTCATCTGGTCTGCCAAAGACAGCGTGGAGAAACCTGAGGACAATTCAGAAGCAGAAGAAAAGCAAGAGATGTTAAAATGGTTTGCTCCAAAACAGAAATCTAAGAGTTAAGGAATGTTTTTTTTTTACTTGTTGATAACAGTCAAACTAAAAGAGGGTGAAGCTTGTTTTAAAGCTATCAAGAGGGTCAAGATCAGCTCCTCCCCCTTTCCTCCCTGCCCACCCTCCATCCATTCCGGTTGACCAGAGTTCTCCTCCTCTTCCTCATCCTCCCTCTCCTGTGCCCAGGGCTGTTCTCTGGGGAGAGGCAGGCCTTATCTCCCCCTGACACAGCCTCCATGGATCAATGCTGGCCATCGCTGCTGCACCACTCAAACACACACACTAATTGCCGCTATGGCCTCAAAAGTCCTGCTTTCTCCGGTGTCAATCCATGTCTTTCTATTTGCCTACGTCTTTATCTGTCTGTCTCTCCAAATCGCAATCCATGACTTTTTTATCTGTCAGTGTCTATCTGCGACTGACCATCTGTGTGTCTGATTCTGGCTTCACCTTCTTCCATCCATCTCAATACATCTCAGCCTCATGTCCTGTATGTTTGGGTTTCTCTCTGTTCCACATGTTGTGCTTGTTGCATGTCTGCATTTCACTTTCTGTACTGTACTTTTACTATCATTTTGTTTGATTTATTTTAACTTCCTCATTTAAAATATGTATATTACATTCTTGTTTAAGTGCACCAGACGCTCGCTGGTTGTCTCCCCCTCTCTGTCTTCCTTTCTCTTTCTGTCTGTCTATCTCTTTAATGGAACACCTGCCCACTCACACCTTTCCTCACAGCTGTCCTCTCCTCACACACCTGTCCATTCACACCTGCTGTCTGCCTACATTGCGTTTTTGTGTGTGTGCAAGCCTTCATAGGAAAGGCAAAGACAGTGGCCCATGTGAGCACACCTGTCAGACCTCACTGCAGCCCTCCAGTGTGTGTGTGTGTGTGTTTATGTGTGTGTGTTTGGTGTGTGTCAGGGAGGAGCATCCTGCCAGGAGAAGCAGGCAGATGAGAAGGAAGATATTTCTTCAACAACATCTGCTGCCATGTGCCTCCTCTTGAGATGGTAGGTGTGTGAGAGTGTGTGTGTGTGTGTGTGTTTGTGTGAGTGCATGTGCATTAGGGGTTCTTATCTCACAGTGTGTTGATGGGTAATGGCAGGCGTCTCATTATGTCCAGGTTGCAGGCTATTGTTGTGTGTAATGTGCTGTAATTCATTCTATCTGCAACTGTTCAAATCTCCATCACACACACGCACACACACACGCACACACACAAACATGCACACTCACACACAAATACAGTAGACACCGCTGCGCACACACATACAGTATCAGATATGCATAGACATGAATGTAAAGGAACATACTGGAATGAATCCAAATGTGTTTGATTAATACACACACACACACACACACACACACACACACACACACACACACACACACACACACACACACACACACACACACACACACACACACACACACACACACACACACACACACACACATACATACACACACACATACACACACACACACACACACACACACACACACACACACAGAGCTCAGTGAAGGGAGCAGTGCTGTTGCCAACTGGCAGTGTCTTCTTCTACTTAATGAAATCATCAGAAGGGATTAGAGGTGAATTTCTTAAGGGGGTCTTCATGCGCACACCCACACGTACACACACATCTCATTCACAGAGGCAGATGTCTTTAGGGGGTCTTCAGGACTTCACCACTCATCCAGGGCAGGGGGAATAAGCGTGGGCACGTCTAAAATTAACACACACACTTATTGAATCTGTTTAAACCCTGGGGTCAAGTGAAGAGAAGAAGACACGAGTGAGGGGTTAATATCATTAAACGATGTCACTGGTTGGGTGTTTTTTTACATTTGTGTGTGAGAGAGAGAGAGAGAGTGAGTGTGTGTGTGTGTGAGATTTCAGCACTCTGGTATTTGGAACAGCACGCAGGGTTCAATCAATTCCAGCACATCCCTCTGGTGGAATTTGATCCAGTTGAGCACACATGGCTCAAAAAGTGTGCACAAACATACACACACACGTGCATACACACATAATCACAAATAAGCAAATACACACAAGGTAAAACAAACTGTAAATATCTTCCAAAACACGCTTGGATGTCCAGCTGTATGTTGATTATAGGGTCTGCATATGATTTATAGATCAACAAACTTCTCCCTAATTACACATGAAATGCACACATATGTGCACAAACTCACACAAAGGAAACACCAATAATTAAAACCCCTGTGATTAATTTATTGAGCTGAAAGTGCGTGTTTTCTTATTGAGGTACGTCAACGATTTTTATCAGGACGTGGTGTGTGTGTGTGTAAAGGATTGCGTTGTGTGAAAGCACTTTGAGTGTTGTGAATATGTATATGTTATATTATTGTGTACTTAATAATATTATTATATAGAAATGTTGTACCGTTGTACCGTGTGCTGTCTGGTTGTTCCATCAGCATATTTGGATTACTTGTGTTTACGTAAGTTGCCATACATAAGCTTCTATGAGTTTCTGCATGTGTGTCTCTTCCTGTGTGTATTTCTGTGTGTGTTTGTGTGTGCCTTCCCGAGCCCCTCCCCTTCCCACCAGCCTGTCTGCGCTGTTCAGCCATCCAATGCCTCTTATCTGTCTGATTAATAGGCGGCCAGCTTCAGGACAAATTAATTAACAGATAACGCCATCTCTCCCTTCTTCCCTTCCTCCCCTCCTTCTCATGAAGCGATCGATACAGCAGAAGAAAAGAAACATCAATGGGAATTTAGTGCTGATGATGGAGAGAGAGAGGTATTGATGGAGAGGGAGAGAGAGAGAGAAAGAGTGAGATGGAGGAGAGAAGAAAGTAAAAGGGGGAGAGGTGTTGGAAGGAGAGATGGCGGTGGTGGAGGTGGGAAGACCTTTCTTTCATACCTGTGATTTCACTTGACAAAAGAAGGTTCCCTATTTGGCTCTAATTACATTTCCTTTCTGCCCATTGTTGATAAGACACCTCGTGCTATGTGTGGTAGTTTGAGTGTGTTTATGTGTGTGTGGATGTTGGACAACGTGCATTTACTTTGGTGTTGGGGGGGCTAAGCAAAATGTAAAGTGATGTACAGTTAAAATAAAGTTCAAAGCTTTGCTTAAACATATCAATATCAACTTTAAATGAAAGAAAATGGCCAAAGGTCGGATCTGCACGTGTTCCCTGGACTCCATTATTGGATGTCTGTTTGGGTCTTCAGTATGTACAGCTTGTGGGCCGTAAAAAGTGTAACACTTCCTGTGCTGGATTAACTCTCCTACTAAGCAGCACCTTTTAATAGAACAGCAACCTAAATTCTAAGAGAAAGGGTTGAACATAATTGTTTTTTTACTTATCATGTGTATACATAACGTTTGGGATTTGGTATACAGAGCAAAAGGTCACGTACATTTGTTTTTTGTTGAATTAGGGCGTGCCTACCTGCACATTAAGACAATCTATTCTTCCATGTATGGAGGTACAAAGGTAAAATGGGTGCGGTGTGTGTAGGCATGTGTGTGTGCCATACATTGGCCTGACAGAAAGAGGCTGCAGTGCAGTCATGCAGACTTAACCTCTGCTGCATGCTCTTGTGCTCTTTTCCTTTTTTCTCTTCCCTTTCCTCTATCAGACACACACATGAAGACAAACACACACACACACACACACACGTCGATTCCCAAGCCACCCTGCGGCCTGTTTGTCTGCCAAATGAGTCCTGACTGCACGTTTACACCCGAGACCGCACAACAGTCTGGCACAGACACACACACACACACTGGATAGCCCTCTCTCACGCCCCAGTTACTACAAAGACACACACCAACACACATGTCCAGGAGGCCTATATTTGTTTTCTTGTGGTTACAGGGCAAATGGGAACCAGTGAGAACCGATTGTGATGCTTATGAGTCCATGTGCACTTGTGTGTGTACTGTTTCTGGCATATTGTAGAGCTATTTGTGTGTGTGTGTGTGTGTGTGTGTGTGTGTGTGTGTGTGTGTGTGTGTGTGTGTGTGTGTGTGTGTGTGTGTGTGTGTGTGTGTGTGTGTGTGTGTGTGTGTGTGTGTGTGTGTGTGAGGGAGAGAAAGAGAGTGTGTGGATTAATGTGACAGGTGTGAAAACTGTTTGCAATGCTGATCTGGTCCAGGTTATTAACACACGACTAGTCTTCATATTCTGTCAGTGCAGTAAAAAGGACGTTTGGCATAAATGTGGTTGTTATTTTTAAGCTTTTTTCTTTTAAAGGAACTGTCAATTAAAATCAAAGAAGTGAAAGTAAATCATATTTGTAATATACACATTATAATTGATAATTTACATTACATTTGCCAAACATATATAACTAAATATTTATATTAAAGCAATGCCATTATTATTGTGAGTAGAATAGAAAATATGACCATTTTATTTGTAATCCTTATTGTGATTTATTGCTGGGTACCTTTGGTAACTATGTTGTTCTTGTCATGAGTCTGAAGCCAAAAGGCCATATAAAAACGACAACATCACATTCAAAATGAATAATGAATACCTCTAAGTGTTGATTTTTACCTCACAACAACATTTTGATTGCTGATTTAGCTTAATATATTGTTGGGAATTGAAACTGACATTTCAAGAAGACAAGGAAGGTGTGTGCCCTGGTGTGTGTGTGTGTGTGTGTATGGCCGGGGTGCTGCCAGCAGAGAAGCAGGTCAGCTCAGCGTTGCTGGACCACATTTGATTTGAATGAGCCAACTAACAACTTAACCCCCGGTGTGACACTGCGGCATGGACAGAATAAGCCATTAGTGCTCGGAAAGTCAGACGTTGTGTCCATTTTCAGAAGCTCTGACAATGTCGTCACACATTTTTAGCAAAAATGCAGTCTATGATAGATATAGTTGCAAATTAGGGGAGAGAGATGGTGTTGGCATTTTTCTTTCGGAAAATAAG